AGCCTATAAATACGTATTTTACTTTTATGTCAAAATGATCAGGAAACCATAATATTAAACTACTCAACACTAATTTCGTCGCACACCAAAATGTCGCCCCTGTTATAATGTGAATATAACTTTTTTCAGTATAGAACAATTTGAATTTGGTTCACACTGTTCGATAGCCCAGTCCTCCAGCTATAATCTCGTACTTCATTGAAACATAAGGGTACTCAAATAAAATATCTACATGGTATTTTCCGACACTATGCAAAGTTTCGGAATATTCAAAAGGCTCTCAAATGGTGAAAAAATGTTTTTTCTCAACTTCGACAACAGAGGCATGAAGATGATCTCATTACTTAGAGATATTTCGCGAATCAACTTCCTATCTCTCCTATCTACAGAGTGATCTCAAAAAATCAACTTTTTGGTTTTGCAGCCACAACTTTTTTCCACGTCAACCGATTTTGGAAATCTTAGGGTCATTCTGAAGATAAAACTTTAGATGAAGAGATCTGGATATCAGAATTGACTCAAGATGGCTATCAAAGATCTAGAGTTTTCTTGAAAGTGATCCAAATCTGGATCGCCCTTCGAATCTCGGTTGGGAGGAGAATTGAATGAAAATCAACTTGTTCTCGGAAAAACAATTCATTCTGGATGCGTCCATATTCGCCTCGCTCTCAGTAGTCAAGAATTTTGCGTGAGAAAACACAATTGAAACATGTTCTTGCAAAAACGTTAGATCATTTCTCCTCTGTAATGCATGGCCCGTAACCAACTCAAATCATTGAGTTCGTCATGGAAATTGGTCCTCCTGGTCTTCCACTTGGATATAATAGAACCTGTTATTTTCGAGGAGTATTTATATTTCTTTTATGCGTTTGTGGTACATCATACGTACCTACATAGTGAGGATAAGGAGAAGAGGTAGGCATTGGATTTTTTTTCAAACTATGCCACTGTATACACGTTTCTGCAACTGGGATATTTGCTATTCAAAAGATGACCAGAGGAAGAAATGATTCGAATCAGAAGAATTTCTGACAAAATCTGACATTATCAAACATTTGAAGATAGATATCGTGAAAAACCACATTCCTCGACGATACAATCAACTATACTTTCATTATTTATATACAAATAACCCTTCTTTTGATATTTCCTGCAATACTACCCTGCAAGGAGTATATATTTCGATACATACCAATTCGGCGTTGAAGCTAGTGCATTCAAATGATGTTTATCAATATGCGAAGTATTTCGTATGTTTATAGGAATGTTTATCCATGTAATATTCGCTTCCTGAATCTTTTTCACGTAGCCTGAGGACTCCCTCTTTTATTTTTGATTCAGCAATCCGAAAACCCCACCCGGTTGGCAATTCCACACCGAACGACTGTTATTTCGTGAAGTGGTTCGACACAGTGTCGTAAAACTGTATTTTTTCCCGTCAGACTGACATTGCTGACCGCCTTTTCCGTGTCTAGCGACAAAAAGTAGCCGGTTTGATGGGGGCGAAACCACTCTGGCGGTAATCAAATCCCACCGTATAGAGGGGAAACACATGGGGGTGCGAGAAATACATCAGCCTGACGGCTTTCCGCACCGAAATCTGCTATTAAATCATTTTCCATTCGGAAGGAAAACTGCTGATTAATTTCGAGGGTATCAACTGCTTATTCCTTCGATTCAGCATGATATTCGAAAGAAAATATATAGAAGCCAGGCGATACACACCCAGTTAACACAGATTGATCCCGCAAAGATATAAGAAGGCATCACATTCATGACACACTGAAATCACAATGACTGCTATTCCGGACCCTTTTGGTGATTTTATGATTCACATTATGATGCCAAATGAAACTCACAGTAGTACGTATTAAGCGACTCCTCATTCAACATCAAAATTGATTGATTCCGTTTGTTACATAAATAGACAAGAAATGTGAGGTCCCAGTGAGTCTCTTGGTTGTTAGGGAGCCTGATAAATTCACCAACATTTACAGTCTCAAATCCAAGTTAATGTGAAGAATATTGCGAATGTTTTGTGAAATAAAGAGTCCCCTGGCAATATCAATGATGTTTTCTTCTAATTCGCATTGTTACCTTGCGAGGCATCATTCCAGAGATGTTTGTGTTTACTGGACAGGGTCGAGCCGTAGCTCAATGTGTTTTCCACAATGAGAAACAACTTCTTCCTTGACTCTAGCAGAACTTCCCTCTCAAAATACAAGCAACGATTCTTAGAACTCCTATAATCAACTATACAGAGCGTTTTCGGGCTATATTGTTAACACCCCTCAGTTCAGTCGCCAGAACAGGGGGTTTCGAAAACGAACGCAAAAAATTAATGTGGTGATTTCTTGAAAGTTTTATGATTTGCTACTGAATCATTTACTTTTCAGAAGGGGAAAATTGGGTATTGCTTCTTGCTTTGATTCAGCATGAAATTAGAAAGAAAGTATCGAACCATCAGATGGTACAGGGTTAAAGTCTGAAAACTAGAGCTTCGAACTGAAATTTGTTAACAATAAGTATTCAAATTAGTACAAAATGTTGTATTTCGGAAAAAATAATGTAAAATTCAAATTTTCTTCAACAAAAAATTGTTTTTACAATTTTCCTGCTGTCTTTCTCAATAGCTAAAAGCTGATTACTTACTTGCAGGTATACCCACTGATGATGTATATGAATAGTCGAAAGCGCTCTGCTGAGAAAAACATTTGGTACTGTTCTGGTATATGTACACGTGCCTGAGTAACCCTCACTTAATAAGTATTAAATCCACCAAAGCTCAATCCCAAAGAAAAAATATTATTTTTCTGCAACTGACACGAAAGTCGTCCATTTTGATACCAAAATTAGCTCTTAAATTGACGTTTCTATTACTGACACAAAAATAGGTATGTTGCTAGGCAACATATTTAGTTCCTAGGAGCTTAAGTTGAATTTTAGTTCCTAGGAGCTAAAGTTGAACTTTAGCTCCTAGGAACTAAAGAGGAACTACTGGACGTCATCAAGAATAAACAACATTGTGACGGTTGGTTATTTGGGTTGAGACGCATACCTGATTTGTTTCGGATTTCAGCAGATTTGGCATTTCATACCCATGCTGGAGATATAAATACACCTTATTATAGTTTAGTATTGGAGTTATAAACATCTCAGTTAAGTATTTTTGTTTCGATCAGGGAAGCCTTCAAGATTCAAATACTTGCTTGATCTGTATTTCATTCGATCATTCATTATTCTCGGGATGGATAACTTGTTTTTGAATAATCACGGCAAGCAATCGTTTTTTTGTCTCAAACAACGATATTGTTTAGCTTCATTTGATTATCAAGTCAAACACAGTGTATTATGGAGAGGAATAAATAATCACTATTATCATTGTTGATATGCTCACTAACCTAACATTTTCCACGTCTTGTTCCTATAGCTGGCACTGGCGCGGTATTTGCCATTAGAGCACCTGGTCCATACACAAATATGTCACTCTGTGGTTGTATTTATATTGAAACTCGGCTTCGCTAAACGCTCCGCCTCGCAAATGCAAAATTCGCTTGTCAAACAAAGTGTCACTTTTGATCCTAATAAAACAATCTACTATTTTTCACAAGACATGTTTAGCTGCTGTTTTATGTTATTATTCAAAGATATCATGCTGAAATGTACTCAAATCGGAAAGACACTTAAACAACACCAAACCGAGCAAACACATAAATATAACCTCATTTTCGTGAACATGACATAACCTAAATTTATGCGATAACAGATATGGTGCCGGGTACGATCTGGTGGAAGAAAACATAACTAGCCACCTTAACAGCCCCTCAAAACATATTAATGACATGAAAAGACATAAATAGCTCGCAATAAATACGGAAGTTATGCCTATAAATTTGAAGCTCATTTGAATATACAGGATCGACGAGAAGTTCTGAAACGATCAAATGTTCCGGAAACTGCGAGGAAACTGGTATTTGATATTGCTGAAAAAAATCATGTGGTGATGTTCATTGGAAAAATGACATGAAACTATTGTTTTCACAATCTCCGTGTTTCAAGAATTTCTGTTTATTCCTAATGGCTCATAGGTAATCTTATTTTTTCATCTCGTTGAAGTCACAATATGAAAGCTGAATGGTGTATTTGAAATGAAAACACTGCTATACCATCAAATATAGAGTACTATTGCATTCGTATTGAAAATCCCTAACCAAATTTGAATAATATAGAGACCGTATCTTTCATGTCGTATACCAATACTGACATCTCGAAAACAATCAAAAATCACGTGAGATCAATTGCTAAAAGTGCATCCCAAAAACTTGGTTTTCTGTTTCGTGCCAGGAGCTATTTCACTTCCAGTCAGCTGCTTATGATCTATAAGGCACAGATCCGACCTGTCCTGGAATACTGTTCCCATATTTGGAGTGCAGCACCCAAACATACCCTGAAACTGTTGGATTCCGTCCAAAAATGGGCAATTCGTCTCTTGGGTGATGCCTCGCTGACAAACTCACTCACTTCTCTGGAAAACCGAAGAAAAGGTGGCGATCTGGCTCTATTTTATAGATATTTCCATGGACGATGCTCTTCTGAAATATCAACAATTGTACCTCCCTTGGCAGTCCCCGCGAGATTTACCCGTCGAGTTGAGGCTTCGCACCCCTTCGTGGTCACTTTGGAGACCTGCAGAACATCTCTTTCCAAAGACTCGTTCATACAACGAACAGCAAGGCTCTGAAACACATTGCCAAGGGAGGTGTTCCCCGAGGCAGGTAACCTCCAGAAATTTAAGAAGAACACCAATTCCTACCTTATTTCCCTTGGTTCTCACGATGTTCTCTGAACATTACAGGCTATCCCTTTTCGTGGGAACCAGAACTTAAAAAAAAGGGAAGGATCCACGAGGTGGAAAAAGTATGCCATTGATTCATTGAAAATAAGCAGAAACTTCTCATAATCGATTCACCTTGAATGACCTTTGTTGTGTGGCTTTCCAGATATGGCGCAGGATACGACCTGGCGGCTCGTCGCAAAAACGCAACGAGAGAGTCCACCGCCACCTTGAAGGCCTGGCTTAACGAGCACAAGAAAAACCCCTACCCGACCAAAGGCGAGAAGATAATGCTGGCGATCATCACGAAGATGACGTTGACGCAAGTGTCAACGTGGTTCGCGAACGCCAGGAGGAGGCTGAAGAAGGAGAACAAGATGACGTGGGAGCCGAAGAACAAAACGGACGACGACGATGATGCCATGGTGTCCGATTGCGACGACAAAGACAAAGAGGACGATGACAAAAGGGACGACACAGGTAGGTGGATTTTTTTTCAAATTTGATTCGGCAGGTACTCGATTAAGATCCATTAAAATAAGTAAGGTAATCTTCCAATTATCATGAGATGTTTTTTTTTTCGAAAATTTGTTTTGACTCACGTTTTTTTTTGTCTCAAAATCATGATTTTAATAATGAAAATGTGAACAAATCACTGTTTATCGAGATATTCCACGAGAAGGTTTAAAGTTTCTTCTTTTTGTTCCGCTTGTATTAGAACTATTTGCCCTTTTTTTTCATCATTGGATAATTTATTCATCACCATGTACTTCAACAATAGATTTACAATATGAAAATCAACTATAAAAATAATTTTCTTGTGATTTTTCCATATTTAATATTTGGTGTAATATTTGGTGCCATTCGCCATTTTGCCATCTGTCGTTCAATTATCAAGGAAATGTCGAATAGGGTAAACCGGTGAAATACGCCCCACCGGGAAATACGCCCCAGTCCGAGTAACATAAATACTATCCGGCAGCCGGTACAGTAGCCACCAATTACTTCTACTGTTTACTTTTTTTATCGTGGTACGCCAGAAATTTCGGCCATTTCGGCACTTTTCCACTCGAAAATATTCACATTTCTGTCGATCAAGGTCCCAGTCCAGCTCATAAAATTATACGGTAAGTAATCATTTTTCAAATTTCAATTTGATTCTCAAGTTTTTTGTAATTTTGTTGAAGCCATGAGTAAATACGTTTTATAACCTATAAATTCCAATTTGTTCGTTAAGTTTGCACCTTGCCTTGACCTCTATTAGGTAGGTGGGGCGTTTTTCACCAGTGATTGGAAAAAACGCCCCAGTAGTAACGGTATAAAACGCCCCATCAACTATTATAACTTTCATTGACACCTAAATGATAAATAATATTTTTATCTTCAGAATATGGGGAAGAAATATGTCCGCAAGACTACACGGGCTTCATTTAGTTAAGATTCTTTGGCAGAGGCTATGGGAAAAGTTATATCCAGAGAAATGGGTGTCAATGAAGCAAGTAGAAACTCTTTCCAAATCTTTGAGAGAAGATAATCTGATTCCCTTGATTTCTCACCAAATTGGTAGAAGAAAAGAATATTTTTTAGAGCTAACGTCTCCTGAAAATCGTGCCAAAAGGCAAGTTTTTTCAGACAATAAGAAAGCCATCGCCGAGAAAAAAGAAATTAAGAAAAAAGCAAAAATATCCAATGATAAAGGCAGTGTCAAATCTATAAAATCTAATTCACGTATTTCAAGTTCTTCGAGCTCCGAAAGTGAACAGTGAACCCATTCTAAGCTCTTATGATGAGATGTCGGATGATACTGAAAACTTTTGTGTCGAATATAGCGAATACTATTTTACTACAAAGTCAAAAGTTGACTGAATTAAATGTCCTAATTTTTTTAAGTGGGGCGTATTTAACAACTATAAGGGGGAAAACGCCCCATCGTATTATTTTTTCAATATAACTCTTTCGGAAAACTATGTTACTGTTTTGTCAAAATGTGTTCAGTATAATGAAATATACCGTTTAGCTAATATGTTTATGGAACTGAAATGAAAGATAAGTTTGTATTTTTGTGAAAATGATTTTTTTTCAAAATGTGGGGCGTATTTCACTGGTTTACCCTATGCAAGAATTCCCTTCCACCGTGGATAGATGAATGAAAAACCTTCAATTTTTTCTGGAAATTCATATCAAACAACTATAGTTTCAAGGTTCAAAGTGAAAAAAAGATAGAAGAACAATCAAAATAATTTATATAACGTTATTCCAAAACAATTTGTCTAAGGTGAGTTTATACAGCAAATAAAACAAAATAAGGAATAAAAATAGAAGAAAATAAGAAAGTTCAACATGGGCATTTCCATGGAACCGTTCATACAGGAAATAAGTTGAGAATAAGAATTAGAATAAAATAAAAGATGACCAACTTTTATCTTTTTATTTTATTTTATTCGGAAAATGATAATGCACAGGAACCAAATGAATTCTGTGACAGAATCTCCATAGAACATGAAACATGAAACGTCATTAGCTCAAGCTTTTATGATTTTTCGAAATCTGTTGACATTTGACCTTCATTTGACATTTTAAATTAAATGGCTGTCAGCTGGTGTGATTAATCAGTAAATATGAAGAACTTACCAAAAATTTATGTTTCTTGTTGATTTTCCAACATAAAATGTGCCATTGAAGTACATCATTAGTATATAAAGTGTGTCCAATGACAAAATAAGAAGATTAAGTAGCTGTATATCAGTTAATGCGTATCCAAAATACAGGCGGAAAAAGGAGGTGAAATTTAGAACTTTTGATATCGTAATAATATTTTGATTAAAGATTTTGGCATCATTTTCACGCACATTATCATCCATTACATTTCAGGACAAAACTCTTGGAAATCGCTCCATAAATAAAAAAATAAGAGGGTGGCATTTGAAAAATGTTCACTTTCATTCATCTCTAAATAATGAACTAAAATGTGTACACGCAAATTTGTATTTTGGAAACACAAAATATAAAACACCGTCATAACAGGTGAAATATGAAAAATTTCGCACTGAATGTTCTACATACCGCGCATAGTTAGATATAATAATATGCAATTATTGCAAATAATATTGCGAGTTTGGATTTTGAGCCGATTAGCAATAATCTAACGTCTGATAAGATTATGTATTGGTGTCTATATCGTCATGAGTTTCAAATTTCCCGTCATCCAGATGATACCATAAAACTTGATATCGATCCAATCTGACATCCAATTTTAGATGGATCAATCAACAAGCAGAGGTCGTTAGACTCTCTAGGAAAAAAATCAGAAAACTAGATGCGAGAAGAAAACATATGGTACAGTTGAATTCGGTTTCCTCATCAAAATGAAATAATGGGGCACAAATTCTTGGAATTCCCTATAGTTCGTCACGAAAATAGATTTCACAAATTCAGTGCCAAGTCGTATGTTTGGTTCCATCCTTCATTAATCAAGTGTTTAACGCCAATATATAAAAATCAACGAAACATTTTTCACTTCATGCATGAATAGATAAATTTAATGTCGCCTTTCTGATTTACAGTATGTCAAGTGTTTCGACTGTTCACAGTTGAATGATTATTCTATTGAAGTGTGAAATATGAAAGAGCATATGTTTCTTATGTGTCAATAGAGCTATCTATCACAGTATCACTCCTAAATAATCTGCTCTGAAAAAAATTATCTCAAGGGAATATGATATTTAAAAGCTATGGAAGGATTCACATACCACTCTTAAATCAATCTGTAATACAAACAAGGCACAGCACACATAATAAGATAATTCAGTTAAGTCATTCATCTGTTTGCGTACGATTAAACGCCAATTTCCGACGAGTCAATCGTCTATAAAATAGCCCCATTTCCTTCAAACGCCCCTATAATCCGACCGACCCCTTCTTTGATATACAGCCAAGATTCCACCCCCATCAAGACCCTTAATTACATCTAGGGATACGCTCTTTGATTTCCATTATCTCCAATTCACTTTCACCCTGATTCTTTCACTGTTCCTACCACCGGATATAGAAGACCAAATCGTAAATAAAACAAATCGAAAGAAAACTAGAACTGCATGAAGACCTAGAACAACAAAGAATGCTTGTAAAAGTTCAGTTCAAATTGCGAAATCCATACATTTGCATTTATCTCCATTGCCGAAGGCAGTAATTATGATGACCTCCAATGGTGAAAATAAACTCCTATCTCCTCTCCCTATCTTCCATAGGTATACGCACAATGCTGCTTGAACATAATAAAGATACCCCCTCGTGTGCTCCAAAAGATGAACAATAATTTCAATCGTTCGATCATTCTCTTCGGTAGGTTTCGTCATTTGAATCAAAATCCTCAAAAATTGAACCACTGTAATTTCTATTTCACGGCATAACTTCCACTTATTGTATACCGTTGTTGCTCCATATATGAATTTCATAGAATCGCGATTTAACTCACAATCTCTGTGCACTCAAAATGATGAAATCCTCATTTCTTCAAGGTCTTCAACTGAGATATCTGATGGAGAATATAGTTACAGCAGAAGCTGCAGCAGGAGAGAGGCTTTTCCAGCTTCATCAGTCGTGCTGACAATCTCATATGATGAATTTTCAACAAAAAATCACCAATACCATGAGTTGAAGTGTCAAATCACTATCCATCAGGAGCTAGATATTATACTATCTATTCCGAGATCTATTCTATTGTTGCCATAATAGTCCGAGGATAAAAGAGCAGATCATTGAACACGTTGAACATGATGACATTTTTCTTGTTAAAAAAAGTTGCACTGCATTTCAACAGTCTCGTCTTTAGGCAAACTAAAAAAACACAATTAATCATATTCCGTCTAGGATGAATGATTAAGGATGAAACTGAAAATTACTTTGGGTATATATGCAGTCAAAGTAAAACCATAGATCAAACAATCTATGGTGAAACAAAGTGTACTCTTGTTTTTGTTCAAGATTTTGAGTCTTTATTGGCTCTTCATCAGGAACTCCATTAATCATTAAAATTGATATGAAAATTCAATCGTTATTATCGATTACTGAAACACTTACGGAAAATGAGGTTTCGTTGATGCTGGCTACATGTGTAAAAGAACCAACAAGGGATCATTAATATTTTTGAAGACTGATAAGCAAATTTTACATTTTACTTGGATTTTGTCGAGAAAACTCTGCTCGAGAATAATTACAGCATGGCTGACAATCAGAACAGTAAACTGTATACATGAATTATGTGCTGATCAAAATTTCATCTGTCATGAGTCAATTGTCAATAATTCAAAATGTTTAGAAATAACGGGATATTTGTATCAAACTGAATGAAAACAGAAGAAGAAGTGGACATTCCAACACTTATTATTTGACCGGGAAATTCAAAATCATCTAGTAAACTTCAAAAGTGAGAATAAATGATGCTTAAATTGTCTATGTCAGTTCTAGTATTAATATTTGCAGAACGTTCGATCCTTTTAGAGGTTTTTGGGACTTTTTGAGTCTTCCTGACTTCTTCCAAAGAAATCACATTAGTATATCGACGTTTTCATGTTTTTTGCAGATATCCGCGGCAGAATCAAGTCCGAACGGGGTTCCAAAGAACACAACTTTCAATCTTCAGGAATTATTTGCTTCTTTGTAGAAATTTCAATCCTTTTAGAAGTCATATCTGGACGCTCTAGTCTTGTTCTTCGAGACCATGGACTTCTTCACCAACAATCATATTTGTATCAATGTTTTAATGTCTTCTGCAGATATCCACAGCAGAATCAAGTCCGAAAGGGGCGCCAAAGGGACACAACTTTCAATCTTCAAGAAATTATTCGCTTCTTTGTGGAACTTTATATCCTTTTAGGAGTCATCGGGACATTCTAGTCTTGTTCTTCGAGGCTATGGACTTTTTCACCAAAAATCATATTTGTATCGATGTGTTCATGTCTTTTGCAGATATCCACGACAGAATCAAGTCCGAAAGGGGTGCCAAAGGGACACAACTTTCAATCTTCCGGGAATTATATGCTTCTTATTAGATTTTTCTATCCTTTTAGAAGTCATCGGGACGTTCTTGAGTCTTCTTCTTCTAGACTATGGATTTCTAAATCGAAAATTATATTCGGTTATTGATGTTTTCCATGTTTTTTGCAGACATCCACGGCAGGATCAAGTCGGAACGGAGCTCCAAAGACCTCGACGACGACGACATGACGGACGAGGACAGAAAGGAGGACCTGTTGGGGGGCAGCATGCACCACCTCCTCGGCAGCGGGTTCGGCCTCAAGGCCGAGCTGAAGACCTCCGACTGCGGCGTGCCGCTTCCCCCCTCCAAACCCAAGATCTGGTCGCTGGCGGACACGGCGGCCTGCAAAACCCCCCCACCTCCTCCCGCCTCCCAGTGGCTGGGGGGCAACGGGTTCGCCTTGCCCAGCTCGAGGTGAGACGGGATCTTTGTTTTTAAATTTTTTCAGATTTTTTGGGATTTTCTCTCTCAGATGATTAGCCCCAACAATATCGCACAACCGTCCAGGTAGTGAGAACTGTACGGGAAGTGCTCACTTCCATTTAATACCACTGACTTCCAGATAGTTCTATAAGGACTACCATAGACTGTCAGCGATTACCAATGACTATCAGTAACTACTTGAGATTTCCATCAACTTCCAAAGACTTTCATTAAGAACCAAATGCTTCCATACTACCAATGACTTCCATGTACTACCAAAGCCTTCCATCACTGACTTCAAGAGAGTCTAATGAATCTAATGACTACCAAAGACTGTCAGTGATTGTCAAAGACTATTGAGTAGTGACTACGAAGAGTTCCAGCGATTACCAATGACTATCAGTAACTACTTCAGACTTCCATTGACTACCAAGAACTTTTATCCACTTCCAAAGACTTTCAGCGAGAACTAAATGCCTCCAGTCTACCAAAGACTTCGATTTACTACCGAAGACTTCCACCACTGAATTCCAGAGAGTTCTAATGACTATCAATAAAGACTGTCAGTGATTACCACCAGAGACTATCATAATCAACAAAACAGTTCCAGCGATTACCAATATGATTATCAGTGATTACCTGAAAGTTACATTATCTTACAACAATTTCAGGAAAAACCAAATTCTTCCAGACTACCAAATACTTCGATTCACTACCAAATACTTCTATCACTGATTTCCAGAGAGTTCTAATGACTGTCAGTGATTACCAAAGACTATAAGGAACTAATCAAGATTTCCATCGATAACCAAAAACCATTATATATCGAAGACTGGAACCTTTGGCACGATAATACACTACACTGTTTTACCACTAACCAAACCGATTTTTTAACGCCTCGACACGTGTTTCGCTAACTATGTTAGCATCTTCAGGAGAAGATTAAAACTCAATTTACTCAACTCAACTCAAACTCAGTTTTAATCTTCTCCTGAAGATGCTAACATAGTTAGCGAAACACGTGTCGAGGCGTTGAAAAATCGGTTTGGTTAGTGGTAAAACAGTGTAGTGAAAAACCATTATCTTCCAAAAATTTCAAGAAGAACCAAATGCTTCCAGATTACCAAATATTTCCATTGACTGCCAAAGACTACCATCAATGACTACCAAAGACTTTCAGTGACCACCAAATACTTTCAGTGACTACTCATTTCTATCAGTGACAAAAAAGAGATCCAGCGATCACTACCTAATTAAGACTTTCATTGACTACAAAAGACTTCCATCAACCTCCAAAGACTTTCATGTTAAAGTTGAAAAATAAAAGAATTTATGTGTATGTCTCCTTTTAGATATTTTTATTTTACCTCTATATTGATGACTAGCCTTTTTCGCACTACATAAAGGTATATCATTCATGCTTCTATTGTTTATACGATATATTATGTAAACATTTCTATATTGTGATTAAATTGCCTGTTGTTTTTTGTCTGACCTCCAAAGACTTTTAGTGAGTACCAAATCGTCGGCCCACTATCAAAACCTCCTAAGTCCGAATTCTAGGGAATTTTGAGCTTGAACATTTTCACCACTTACGAAATTCAGCGCACCCATCACCAAATCATCGTAAGTCTATGTTTTTCGTACCGACATCTATTAGATATAATTTAAAAAACTCGTAAGTCTGCAAGAGAGGATAGGGTTAAGTTACACTTGTTGAGAAAGTATAAATCTCTATTGTTTGATTCATTATTTGAACTGAAATCCATGTCAGACACCAAAGTGAGTTTATGATGAACTATTTGGTCAATCTTCTCGAATATTTCTGCAGTGATGCGAAGGACAAACTTGTTCTGATTCTTCATGTGAACAGACTTTCTGTATGATTGTTATCAATCTAGTAGAGGACTTAAGAGCTTTTGAGAAGATGTTATGGATATTTGTATAATTTTCTGTTCATTTCAAATGAAGACATTGATTGAAATATTTTGGTTCATTATTGTTGAACCCATATTTCTCATTGTTATCAAAACTGCCGCTGATTTGCTACATACACTGTGAAGCAAGGCCAAACCAAACAATTTTCAAAACTAATTCAGTCTGAATAATGTTCAATGTATTTTTGTAAATACTTCGTATGTCGTTTATTTGAACATTGAGAATATAAATCTTCTCAGAATGTTGATTCGATTCATCAAGCAGGTACCTTTATAAAGGAGGAATAGCCTTAAAAAAATGAAATTGAATCGTTCGAAGTACCTAGTGAAAAACGTTTTTCCCCTCCTGAACAATTAGCTCTGAAAGACTTACGAGGTTTTGACAGTAAGCCGACGAAATGCTTCCAGACGACCAAAGACTTCAATTAACTACCAAAGACTTCCATTGGTTACCAAAGACTTTTACTGTATACCAAATACTTCAAATTTCTTTTCTGTCTGTCCAGGTACGGCTCAGGAGGCTTCCTGCCAAGCCACTGCCAGCAAGGCTTCCCCGACGTCCAAACAGATACACCTCCCCAAACGCCTCCCAGCATGAAGCTGCCCAGCGTGGCGGGCAACCTGATGCCCGGCCAGGGGGGATGCTCGGGGGGTTCGTCAGCGGGCGGGGGGTACTCGCAGGGGTTCCTCGGGGGGTTCGGGAGGATGCAGTCGCCGCACAGAGGGGGGCAAGGGGGGCAGAACGGTGGTCAGATGGGGGGTGGGACGGGGGATAATGCTGCCTTCAAACCTTTCTACAAAAGGTGAGGATATTGATGTTGAATTCTACAGGGTGTTTCCTAACAACGGTACCAAATTCCTAGAGGGTGATTCGTTAGTTCAAATTTACGATAGAACGACGTTCTAGTCATGCTGTTACTGAGTTCACCATTATTCTTTATCGATATTTTTCTATTCCTATCTGTTGTTGATCTTATATATTCAAAATACCTGTTAAACGTTACGTTCTCTTTCCCTAAGCTCTATGCATATGATACATCATTGATATTATGTTTAAATCTGAAATCTGTGATAGCTGTGACCTACCGCATTATATTATAGAATATGTATCTTTGAAAAATAAATATCTATCTGAATATGTATCAAGGAAAAACGTTTCTATGAACAAATAATGTTAGGAGTTGCTTGGTTTCTGAGATACAGGGCGTTCAAGTTTGAAGTATTCATGATAATCATTCACCTAACAAGAGCTAGTTACAATGTTTTTCCTACGAGGGTTTTTGTTCATATACCTATAATTTATGAAAAAAAAAAAAATGGATTCGATGAACAATATTTACTATAATGCTACAAAATGACTCATAAGACGGAATAGCTGCATAGATCATTCAGTTATTCCTGAATATCCTCTTTTTCAACATTACAAGAAAAGTGCGAAAAAGTAACTTCTCAGCAAAAGGTACAGAAATGCAAGTGATAAAAAAAATCGAAAAAATAATCACATTATCCCCCATATCGAAAAAATGTTTTCCTAACTGGGGCCCGATTCTCGAATCCGTTGGAATTCGTTCCTATGGGAAAAACTCGATATTTCTCATGGAAATTGGAGATGATGTATTCTTGAACTATTGTATGGGAAACAATTCCTACACATTTCAAGAGAACTGCTTCCCATGGTGATATCCAGTTTTTCATAGGATCCACTCATGAAATACGAAGTTAATCTCATTTGTGAGATGGGAACTGAACCCTAGTGAAAAATCGGAAAAACATATGTATTGCAAAACATGGCGAACATAGATGGAATAGATCATCTAGGGGCTTTACAAAATTTGGAAGTGGCTGAAACCTTTGCTAGAAGACCAAGAAGAAGGTTTTTGCCTAGAAGGGGCCCATTCGAGTGTTTGTCTGCTGCACAATTCATGTCAATTATGCGACTTACCACCTAGTATCTGTCAAATAGGCTAGTTGACAGTTGTATCTGTCAATAAAAAAAAATATTGAGTTCATTGTATGGCGCTTCTATACGCTTTCGTAAGAATCAAAATGTCAACATTTCATTTCAATCATCCACCAGTTACCAACTTAAATTGCACTCATTTCATTGGTGAATACATGTAAGCTCAAGAAACTATCTACGGCATACGGCACTTTTTCAATCTCCTGGGAAAAATGATTCCATCTGGTTCAAGAATAGGTGTCATGACGAATAATCATTTCCTATGAGAACTGGAAGCATCGGACCATTCTCCTATACCTATAGGATCGAATTCCTACAGATTCGAGAATTGGGCCCCTGGTAACTTACACATTTTGGACACAAAAACTTCACAAATAAAGTATTCTTTTTAACAGTTGCAGAAAAAATGTTGAGTCAAAGTTCCGTACTTCGTGGAGTTTGGAAAATTATAGTCACTTGTTGGCCCTCAAATTGAAATAGTTTCTTCTTGTATCAAGTTTCGAGGTTGATTTTACTGAAAATGCTGGACGCAATTCTTAATACTCGCGAATATGAATTTGTTTATGAAGCATTTTGAATATCAGATCTGAAATTCTCAATTTGTATTTTTCTGGACTATCTCAAAAAATCTATTTTTTCAGGAAGCTTTTTTGGATTATTACTCAAAATCTGCTATGAACTCTTTATCTAATCTCAAGTTCATGCGTTTAATTTCAGAATCACCCTGTATATACAATGTTTTAACAACCAAATTTATGTAGTATTTCGATATCAAAATATTTCTATAAGAAAGCCTAACAGCTCCTATGACCTTCATTTTTTCGAAAAAAATAATGTAGTCTAATGATCGACCATCAACGTCTAATCACGTTAATCTTCAATCTTCATGGGGTTATAAAACTGATACAGGCTAGGATATAATGAATAAATGCATCCTTTAGTGGTTTCTAGTTCTTGAATCCAAGATATTTTCCTACGTCTCATAAAATTAGTCGATTCTTGTTTGTTAATTGATACTATCTCGAAGTCCAATCTATTAATCTCAACAACACCTGTCATAGTCTCACTACAACATGTATGTTCCTTATACACTTATATACAGGAAGTACTAATGATAGAGAATTCCAATTTGGTGAATGCTAATTTTCAACACACCTATACATGGAAATAATGACATGACAATTTTTTTTTCTATATAATAATATCGATCACTTATAATTAGCGCGTCCTAATTTTTTATCAAATCAATTTGTTGAAAACTCTTCCATCAGAGAGAACCTCAAGATCACTTATAAAAAACAAAACTAGGTGAATTATATTGCTCATCAGAATTCGGTTATAATATTTTATTCATGGCATTGAAAGCTTCCTAATAGATCAGTTCAGATTACGAGGATATTTACATATTGAAACTAACTCTCACTCATTAAGATTCTTCTACATCAGACAAATTAATGGTTGATCAATATAATGAATATTCCCAGAGTACGATCTAGATACTAGAAGGTACAGTGAGTTTTTGGAAAATCGTCTTTTTGCAATGAAAATAAACCCAATTCTTTTGTCTTTTGGGCGTTGATCCCACACAATTTGATGTCTGAACGCCCACAATCAAGTCGGGCCACCTTATAAATATCTGTTCGGTGTTCTAATTGTTTTTTTCTTTCGTTTTCAGCTCACAAAGCATGAATGGAGGATTTGTTTCCCCAGTTTGAGCCACTCCCTTTTTGAGACACGTTCGACTCATGTGCATAAGTAAGTGATGACGATATAAATAGAATAAAAAACCAATGCCCAATAGTGCTAATATTTTCGACCCCTGGTAGAAATAAATCATTACTCAAACTGAAGAATGACGACAAATTAAAAATTGAATCTAACAGAAGTAGGAATGTTGTAAAATGGAACCCAATATTGTCTTTTTACTAAATTTTTTTCAACGCCACATACAGAAAATAACTGTCTTGAGAATGTGAGAGCTATATTCTCCAAACTTCAAAAACAACCATGCATGATATTCACATGTATTTGAAAGTGGAAATATCGAACTCTTGTTTATAATTGAAAATAGAGACCGAAAAGTACCTTCAATTTTCTTGTATATCCTATACTGTTCGAGTTGTCATATTGTACCAACATTCAAATCTCACATTATGTACGTTTTGGATCGTATCAAATAACTAGAAACCGAGCAGAATTTTGAAAGTACCCTCAAGAGATTATAAATTTTGTTAATTAATTGATATAATATACTGAAATCTCTTCAGTGATGTCAAAAAAAACTGATCATCCATAAAGCTCAAAATATGTATCTATTACTCTATATATTAGGTCGTTGGAAATTACAAGCTTCCATGCATACTAATCAATGAAACGTCACAAATTCAATTTGACTTCTGACATTTGCTAGTGGTATAATGTGAATTGTTGATTTTTTCAAATATACAGGGATTGCTGTGGTTATCCAACTGTTGAAGGTTCAAAAAGTTTAAGTTTTTTCATTTCACTATAAAATCATGTAGTTTGTTCACTAAAACATTCATTTTATCTTCTGGAAATTTAATCTACGTGGATGCACCTTCCTCAAGATCATGAAATAATTTTCATGACCTGTTTTACTTTGTGTCAATTAAGAAAATAATTCAGATGATTTTATAATGCCGCTGGCAGATTCAAACACTATACCACAAACGTGACCAACTATCAAAAAAAGTTGCCGATCCGAAATGATATAACATATGGGGGACATGGAGCTTTCAATAATTGAATTACTTCCTTTGATTCACGACTTATGCTGCGCCCTGTATACATCTCGATATGTGGAATTTTATTAATTTTCCATTTTTATCGTTCAACCTTCTTCATTGGAAGCGAAAACAATACTAAACCCCGAATTTAGCTAGAATAACTTGTTCTAGCAAACTCGTGATTAATTAATAGACCATATTTTTGCGAAATAAACGAGTTATCAAAGAAAAATTTCAATAAAAGGACTCTTGTTGCTATCTTCTTCAAATAATTCCATGTTTGAAAAAAAAAACAGTACAAATAGTAATTTTTTGTCTAGTGCACGAAATGATCGAGAAATGATATTTAACGAGGCGCAGCCGAGTTTAAAGAATATCCGAGATGATCAAAGTATTCGCGCACGAGTTGCAAACAAAAGTTTTTCTACAAACGTCACAAAATATAGTTCTGAAGGAATATGCTGAGCTCAATATAAAAATTAGTGTTGAACTGGCTGAAGAGGCCTCTCCCTATCATCCCTCATTACTCACGATGTTCCACGACCATTATAGAAATTTTCTTTCGTGCGGTCTAAGTGATGAAAAAAATATTGTTGAACATTCAGAAATGAATGATTTCTTGGATATTTTCTCGATTGAGGACCATAACCATAAAGTTAAAGTGAAAAAATCTCAACATTCAAAATTTTGAATTCAGAGTAATTCACCATCAAATGATTATGCCGTTCATTATTGTGAAGGATTTTGAAGTTACAAAGAAAAAATCGTTGTTGAGGTGTCCTATTCAAAGTGGCGTAGTTCCATAGGAAGCATTTTCGATTGACTTTTGAATCACTCTGTATAGTTTACATACAATGCGTGAAATATGTACTTCGCGCATTATTTTACTTCACGCACTTCTTCGCACATGGTGTCGTGGTACCGTAGGAAACTGAAAAAAGGTGTCTTTTGCAATTTGTTATATCAATGCGCGAACCTTGTCATTTTTTAAACTTTTGTAGAGAATTTCCCTTTATGCGGTATTCGGGCCGGTCCGTCCCTGCCAATGCCCACGCACGATGTTTGTGGGTATCCTCTTATTTCTGAATGAAGAATGCCCTCCAGTCACTATCGCCACCTTCGAGACAGTGACAAATGATGCGAGATTGTGATCAGTGAATGGCTACGGCGCGGTCCGGTCCATGGCCAACTAACTAGTCATCGGCGAGACGTACGAGGGTCGATCCATTAGTAGCGAACTTGTTGAATACTCTCTCAGATCATTCGCAATTGGAGTTGTCGATTTGAACCTCAAATGAACGCATAAACTAGACATATATATCAAACTTTATTAGCACAGTGCTCTTCATCACAGTTGAATCTACAATAAAATACAATAAGTCAATAAATAAAGACATAGAAATATAGAACTCAGACACAGACACATCTATTACGTCACATATTTTAAGATGAGGGTAATTTACAGATTTCTCCTTTCTCAATTGTTCAATCAATTATTTTCTTTCACAAATAACACACACGATTGTGCTACAGGCATGATGTTGTACTCAACGAAATACGGATTATTGGAAGCACAATATATCCCAGCTTTAGAAAGTTCGTTTGGGTCATAAATATATCGAGGTCACGAGGCAAAAATGAAAATTCTTTGGTATTTAACGCAATGAATAGTCCAGAATACACCAAAATTCTGAGGATTTGATTACAACACTTCGAAATCCTTACAATCCTTACAACTCAGGTGTTGGCCCTCCTATAGGTCGTAACTTAGCTACTACTAGCTACGCTTGGCTTTTTGACGAGAGGTTTCGATCATCTCACCACCTAGCCACATTCATCCTTAAATAAAGAGTCAAGACAGTTCTCATATAAAATTCGACTTTTTTGGCTTGGTGGGTCAAAAGTTTACCATCAAGAGTTCATATTCGCAGTGGTAGTTATGTTTGTATAACACTGTCACACAAAAAACATAACACCTAGATCTACATACGATCGGTAATGGAATTATGGTTGAAATCTCTCCTCTAAAATGCAGTTACTTCGAGGACGATTTTCAGGGCCTTGGTTGAGACTTTCAAAAAATCGTTACTGCACAAACATGGATCAATCTTTCACCTTTTGTTTGATACCAAGATCATTTCAATTGTACGAAGGATGCTTTCAAATCAATACGAAATAAATAACATTGCTCTAGATATAGTTTTTTATCAAAAACCGTTGTTTCATTGACGTTGTGGGTTCCATTGACTTATAAAGACGATTTCTAAGATCTATCGCGTATCCCACGTATACACAAACCTTCCAAACTACCTAAATCGAACAAACGTGTCCCGCTGAGATCCTATTGTTTCTAATCAATAAACTTTCCACACACCCTTTCTATTAGAATGAGCATTTATCTGACGTATTGTTATAGGTCCCAAATCCCTGCCATCACCGTCTTTCTCTATCTCCCTCACTCTCTATTTCGCCCACGCAACATATCCTTTTCTCTCTCGCTCCCTCTCTATCTTGCGGTTGTTTTACGTTGCTCAATTAGAAGTGGAAGAGCGAGATAACATCTTACGAGAAAGGTAACGGTCCATAGCTAACCAGATCTGACATAAGAACTTCTTCAATTGTTTTTAAAATTGTTTAACGGTTACGAGACACGATGGATATTTGTTTTGTAGTCGACTACGATCACGATCAGAGAAAGCGGACGTGATTCATTTGTTTTTTCTCGTCCACTTAACTCGTAAGTTCATCTTCATATCTCAGCTATGGAGAAATTGATGATGTGGATTAGTGGATTATACAATGATGGCAAAGTACTTTTTCCTGAATCAATGCCCAAACAGTGTATTGTACAGATGTACTATGCACTTGCCAAGTTTCCCCATCAATTACCATTGATGGGTTCATTCATCAATTACGAACTGTTGGAATTAATGACACGTTTCTCTTTTGTTTCAGGCATGGCCTACGCTGGAGCGGCGAACAATGGGCAAAGTGCAAATGGAACAAATATACAGTGTGTTAGTGAAAAGACAATCGACCTATTGTACATTTGTGTAAATGCATTTATTTTTATCTGTGATAAAGAACAAAATAATATCGGCGCTCGGGACTCTCTATAGAAGTTATATAGTTGATAGAAGAAAAAAAAATGTTGCTCTCGCACCTATGTTTGTCCAAATGTTGTGTATACCATCACAAGTCAGAATAGTTGTATTCTTCTGGAGCAGATCGATTCCGCATCAAATTAAGTTATTCTGTTCCGCTGTGTGGAATTCATATCTGCTTCTTTCTTATGAAAATATAAAGAATATGCATTTCAGCAAAATATTTGATTCAAATTTCAAAAAAGTACTGCTTATTTAAACAATACAATACAATATCAAGAATAAGATGAAAAAAAAATGATTCGGAGCATAATTTATAAGTTGAAGGTATCAGGTTTTGCTGGAATGCATTGTTTCTAAAATAGCAAGATTTTGGAGATCATTTTTTGCGGAATTGGGGTGCATCCATAGTTTTTCGGGTTTCACCTACTTTTTATTGTTATGTTCTTTTTAAAGTAATAGGAAATTGTTGTGTATAAAGAGTACCATATCATGGATTTGTAAGATTCTATTATTATAACTAACATTTATATTTTTGTTGGCTTTCAGCCTGGATTTGTAAATTATTTTATCTGTTTGTAAATAGTTCAGTGTATAGAAGGATATTATGATTATGATTGTCTTAATTAAAATATTAACAGAAACTATAGAAATCGTGTTTTATTCAGTTCTTCTATTCACCTGCATACCTCATAAGGGAACTTGGGCACAATATCTACATTAAAATACGGTGTACTGGATCAACTTGAAAGGAATGAAAGGGTTAATAGCAAACACATATTTTTACCTCCTGAGAAAACAAATTCAACAGAAGTGAACTATTGAGGTCTAATTTATCGTTGAGTAAAGTCTCAAAATTCAAAATGATTGAGTTGCATTCCTTTATTTTCTGCGTGTGGAATTTCGAAATTATCATCAAAACTATGGTTTTCTTCTAATACATTATGGTTGGCGTATCCATTAGAGAATGAACTATTGAAGTGATAATGATAAGTAATACTCAGAAGGTTCTCAAACAAAACATATACACACATTTATTCTTGGCAATGAATAACAATGAAATCAAAACTTAACTAACCCTATATATGTACAAATTAACTGATATTTCTGGGAGCCTGAGGAAGGGAATCTTCTGTTCTGCCCGAACTCCGAATGTTCGGGCACAGTGTCAACTTTTCAAACTTATTATTGACAGAACTTAACTTTCCTGACTCGTACTCAAAAAACAGGACAAGAACTCGAACTGTTGAGCCCGCTTCCTTACGACTTTTGAATAGTTGTCTATATTTTCGGAAACGTGACAGTGAGGAAATCCGGTCGATAGTCCAGGTTAGTTGAAGTCAATGTCACGCCTGTGTTTATGTTCAACCACTATGAAAAAAAGTTCGTTCATGATTTGAAAATTTTGGATTTAATGAACAATGACTCCAAACCCTTTATGAATTTAAATGAAATTTAAGAAAATAACCCTATTCCCGATAAGAGCCAGGCAAGAAGTAACCAATCACTATGGCAACTGACCTCTTCAAAAGCTAAAACAGACAGAATGATTCAATAAGAGATTATAGTCCATCCCCATATTATCACAGTATTCTCCATGTTCGGAAGGAATCAAACTTCAAAAGTGATGATATTTTTACTTGGCTACCAAGCTGCCTAAACTATCACTGATCAGTGACTGATACATCGTGATAATGCCAAGCCGGAGGCCAAGCCCTTCTGGTCAAAGTGGGAAGTAGTTAAAGTTGCTAAAATTTCCTTCACATTAACAGTTCACTCCATCTAATCGCCATTAAATTCCAAAGAGATTATTCCTCTAGAGAATATCAATTCCGAGAAGGCTAATCCAGATTTCCTAATAGATGAGGTATATATGAGTTAACTTAAGAATCAACTCCTCTTACTCATCAGCTAAGGCATGCGTTGCCATGGATATAAACAAATTAAATATCTGATCGTCTATACCAAAAGCAATTTGCAACCTGCCCTTAGTCTACTATTTCTTCAATGACGTTGAATTGTTTATGCAATTTTTGTGTAGATATGAAGTTCAGATAGATTATTCTTCGATTGTTTAGAAAGTTCTTGGTCTTGAATTTTTATCCATAATGCTATTCATATCTAACTGAATACATCCAAAAATATTGAATACCCAAACACATACTACAATTATTCGTCAAGATTATCCAGTTTTGTATACAAAACTAGATTATCCACTTTTGTATTGATATCGACATCTAGGTTGTCTTTGTAGACAGTGAAGTGGAGTTTGTTCCATTGTCAATTCTTCTTCATAATAGATAAATGATGTGCATGCAGAGTTACATCCGATATAGATTCGAATCCATTGTTAGCAAGTCAACAGTTGGACATCGAGGAAAACATATAGTAAATTCTTATCAAGATGTCTTTCCATACTGATATTTTTTTCATCCTTATAACCGGTAGTGATACAGAAACGGTTGAATTAGAAACAAGTTTTCTTTGATGCTGACAGATGAAATCTAACTTCGTGAATGTCTTGTTGAGTTAACAAAGTAGAAGCTATCAAACCATAATATATGCAAGATGATGCACGAACTAAACTTGAAGGAATGCAATGACACAGAGACAGATGAAACTAATACAGAATTGGTCCATCACATCGCATCAAGAATTAAGAATCTAGCGGATATTAGTGCGATCTCTCCTGCTGTCGATGCTGTGAGTTATGAAACGCAGGTCGTTAGTTATGGCTTATGCTAACAGCAGCTCTTAATGATACGATAGAGCTAGTCATTAATATACATTTACGTCGAAGAGTAGTCTTGGCTGTCAGACACACACCCAACCAAATGCCATCTAACTTTGCGCTGATAAGGAAATACATGTGATTCTACATTTTTCAGCAGCATATAACATTGGTTTTTAAACCATGAAAATTATCATTCGTTTCCTGGTTATCAGTAGGTACTCCACCATATTCCATTGCTCCTCTATGAAATTCCCAAAAATTTTGTTGTGAGTTTGTGTGAAAATGAGAATTCCCTCAGAGTGACGAAGTCTTTATTCAAGAACGACCTATAACTGCTAAATGAAACCTTTTTACCACGAACTGTCATCTGATAAATGTTCAAAATCAAAGTCACCTTTTCAAATCACTCTTTTTTATTTGAAAAGGTTACCTTATAGATGTGAAATAGAACAACATTTCACAGTTATACAAGTATCATTTTAGTTCCATCCCTTCTTCATTTATCTTCTTTGTCATACTCGTTTACCACAATGAGTCATCTCACTCACTTATTGTAAAAAAAATTATTCCATCTCCATCAGAATCGTTAGTCGTCTCCGGATACCTGATATGTAAGGACATATTAGCCCGCAGCAGCTCGTGGACCCTTCTTACAGGGTGATATTTTTTTTTGAAAACTTGAAGTGCTTGGAAGTTCTTCTAGAAATATTGAGGACATATTTGTTCATATACCCCCTAAGTATAGGATTTGTTGAGGAATTACAGGATGTGGAACTGCATCAGGGCGTTATAGTGTTTTCAAGATAAATCGATTATGTATCGGAAATTCTTCCAATTTGGATAACATTTTGTATTTTCGAACCAGCTCACTATTCACTATAGTGGCAGAAGCTTGGATTTGCACAGTTATATTGGTGATAGATTGTATTGCGTATACCGTGTGTCCAAGAAAAGAATGTCTTCGCATTTCTTGGATGTATGACGAATTGATATTCATCATACAGAACGTAGAAAGAAATTATAAATTGGAAAAACCTAATCACGAGTCTGCGATTGAACAAAATGTGTATCTGAAGTTGCAAGCAGTGTAGGAATAGGAAACCAATAAGCGTCTTACCACAGTAAATGCCAGTAGGAACATTGAGTTTTTATGCTAGGAGCTAGGAATACGCGCTTGCGATTTTATGGCGTGTATTATCAAAACATCCTGTACCCACATATCAGAGGAAAGTCTGAAACAAATAATTCTGAAATCAAGAAAAAAAATTTGAATTCAGAAATAAGTTCGAATTGAAAGAAGAAAAAAGGCTGAATTCATAAAATATTGTTTGAATCAATTGAGAGGAAGGAGTATGATTTCAGGGACAAAAAAAACTGAACTTGAAAAAATACACATTGGCTTTAGACTTTTGTTGATCATCGCATACCAAATTAGGTCAAATATTTCTAGTTGCATCACCTCGAAATGACCCAACGAACGGATCTACATCCAAATAGCTTATCTCCAGCTCAAATACCCTTTATGCAAATGGACCTACCGAAACAAGTGAGCAACGACGAGATATCTCAACTTCAACTCTCAACTCGAATGAATATTAATAAAGTCTGTCAGAAGACAATGAGGATTTCTTCCCTACCAAAGTTTAGGTACCTACCTGTGGCGAGTGCGCGTGGGTATAGAACCAAAGGCTGCTGCGATCATCTTCAGACCCATTTATTAAACCACTTGTCCGCACAATTAAAATATATATTCGTATTTGGACAATTTATATTATTGATAGAGAATAAATGGGGATCTCTCGTCGTTTATCTTATTGGGAATACTGATTGCCGAAGCAAATTGGGATGATACTTATTCATTAATTTAACTTGATTATTTAGGATTTTCTCTCCTCGTTTCTACAAAATAAAAATATTTGTATTATTTCAATATATGTTTTTTTTTATCGCTTGAAGCGCACGAAAGTGAATCCCTATATAATGTTCAAAGAACATCGTGCGTTCCTAGGGAGAATAGGGACAGGAGGTAGGTATTGGAATTTTTTTTGAACTTTTGGAGTTTATATGATGTTGGGAATACTTCCATAGGCAATGAATTCCAGAGCCTAGCCGTTCTATGGATGAAGGAGTCTTGATAAAGTGCTGTTCGACATCTTTCGAGGTTGACAACGAAAGGATGTGCTGACTGGGCTTGTCTAGTTCGTCTGATTGGTATTGCTAGTGAAGGGATGATAGCAGAGATTTCCGAAGAACATTTCCCGTGGAAGTATCGATAGAACAGTGAAAGGTCGCCGACCTTTCTACGGTGTTCCCATGATGTCAAAGGGTGAGTGAGTGTGGCGTCACCCACCAGGCGAATGGCTCTTCTCTGGATGGAATCTAAGAGCATCAGCGTATGTTTCGGTGCTGAACCCTATGTGGGAACAGTATTCTAGAACAGGCCGTATCTGCGCTTTGTAGATCATGAGAAGCTGTTGAGGTGAAGAGTAGCTTTTCGCACGGAACAAGAATCCGAGTTTTTGTGAAGCAGCTTTTGCGATGGATCTGACATGATTATCCCATGAAAGAGTGTTGCTGATGTAAATACCGAGCATAGATATGGTGGGCTTGGTGGGGATGGTGGAGCCAGACATTACAATATCGGGCATACTGAGTTCCGCCTTTCTAGAGAAAATGCAGGCTTGAGTTCTGGTGGCGTTGAATTCAACTAGGTTGTTTGTTCCCCAGGCTGTGATTTCAGCAAGATCTTCATTGACAGCATTGTGAGTTCTTAGTTTCCTGGAAAAAAATGGGAATTCTGGAAGAGAACGCAGTGTGGAGGGTACTATCATCTGCAAAGCTGTGGATGGGGCAAGTTGTTACTCCCAACAGATCATTGATATGGAGCAGGAATAATGTTGGTGCCAAAATTGATCCTTG